AACCCGTTCAGCCAAAACACTGGAAACAATTCTAACTCAGAAAGCATACATTTTCACTCATAACACACTGACCTACAAAACACTAACAACATTCCATTACGGTAAATTTGATGAACTTTTATCTTTTTAAATTTATCATATAAATAAGTATTTCATATAGAATACAGTTGTTCTCAGTCACTTTGGTACATTTCTCAGATCAGAATTTAAATTCTACTTGTTCAACCGCCACATCATCTGGTCACTTGTGCACATCATATGTAAAAGCAATTTTTGTCTTTTGAGAAATTTCAAATTTTTTGACACATTTATGCAAATGATGATGATTTATTTCAATAGGTAGGATATTAGAATTAAATTGTTATTTCCAAACGGCGAAGGCAGAATGCTGGATTCAAAAAAAGGAACAAAGGTGCTTTAAAACTACTCTTCTAGGGCTGGGGCAGTGGCTATAATATTGGAACGGGATAGCCACTACACAATTGTCTGCATTTTCGTACATTATCAATTGCTTACTGTAAGTCATGTTGATCACAATGTATTATACTGTTTGTCTGTTGAATAGTCTGAAGCTTGATTGACTACGCACGTAGTAATAATAATCTTAATTTGTAGAGCACTTTTCAAAAACAAGTTACAAAGTGCTTTAACAAGTGTAAAGACAATAATACCCAAAAGACAATAACACAAAAACAATACAAGATAAAAGCAAGAAAACATTGAAAAGACTAAAACACACGTTTAAGATAAATATAAAATTAGTAAAATAGAATAACCGACCTGATTTCCTCGGGCAGGCTGTTCCGGAGCCTCGGGGCCCTGACAGCAAACGCTCTGTCCCCTTTAGTTTTCAGTCGAGACTCTGGAACAGACAACAGACCTCTGCCCGAGGATCTCAAGGTACGTGCTGGTGTGTATGGGACTAAAAGTCAGAAATATAACAAGGCGAGAGGCCATGAAGATCTTTAAAAGTGATCAATAGAATTTTAAAGTCAATTCTAAAACATACTGGGAGCCAGTGTAATGAAGCTAAAATAGGAGTAATGTGGTCATATTTCTTTGTTCTGGACAGTCTGGAGTCGATCAATAGATTTTTGTGTTAAACAGGGAAAAGGCCGTTGCAGTAATCCAGGCGTGATGAGATGAAGGCGTGTAAAATGGTCTCGGTGTCCTTAAAAGTTAACATAGATCGAATTTTTGCTATATTTCTAAGTTGATAAAAACATGATTGAACAAGCTTTGTGGTGTGCTGCTCGAAATTTAAATTACTATCAAACCAAACACCAAGGTTCTTTGCACAGGCTAATGTGATTTACTAGGGAAGCAGCAGATGGCAGTATTTGATTTGCCATCTGCTGAGACCCGATGACCAGGATTTCTGTTTTGTCTGACTTAAGCTGGAGGAAATTATTTGACATCCATTTTTTACTTCACAAAGGTCGATAAGTGAACTCAGCATTCAAGGGTCTTTGGATCTGACGGGCAAGTATATTTGTGTGTCATCAGCATAAATATGAAAAGAAATGCCATGTTTATGGATAATATGTCCAAGGAGAAGCAGATACAAGGAAAACAAAGAGGCACACCATATTTAACAGGACAGAATGAGGAGACATAGTTGTTTACAGACACGCAGAACTTCCTATTTGACAGGTAGGATGAAAACCATTCTAGGGCAGTACCAGTGATCCCCACCCAGTGCCTCAGTCTGTCTAACATGATGTTGTGATCAATGGTGTCAAAAGCAGCGCTAAGGTCCAGGAGTACCAGGACTGAGCACATACCTTCATCAGCAGACATTAAAAGGTCATTGGTGACTTTAAGCAGGGCAGTCTCAGTGCTGTGGTACTTCCCAAAACCAGACTGAAACTTTTCAAATAATATTTTATTTTCCAGTACAGTGAGCAGCTGTTTGGACACAATTCTTTCTATGATCTTTGCAATAAAAGGCAGTTTTGAAATTGGTCTAAAATTTTGTGGGAGGGAGGGATCTAAACCAGGTTTCTTTAGAAGTGGGTTCACGCAAAACAAAAAAACTGAGATCAAATGGAACAACAGAATCCATTACTTTCAGTAAAAACAGGTATTACATCAAGTGGGCTGGAGGACACTCTCATTTGTGATACTGTTTTAAAAGCTCAGACAAGTGATGGGATAAAACTGGTTAAAACTCTCTTGTTGCTGGTGAGGAACCTCTGAGTAAGAGGCCGTGGGGGTAATAGAGGCTCTGATTGACACCACCTTATTGGTAAAATAAGATAAAAACAATTCAGTCATCATTACTTCCAGCTGAGGCACAAGGAGGGGTTGGGTTTACCAGCTGATCCACAGTCTTAAACAGAAACCTGGGATTGTGTTTATGTGTAGTAATGAGTTCAGAAAAATAGTGTGTTCTCGCACCTTAACCATGTTATTGTAGTTAATTAATAAATCCTTCAGACTGAGGTAATGGACTTGGAGACTGGATTTTTTCCATCTGCGCTCTGCTTTCCTGCATTCCCTTTTTAGGCTGCGAATGCTGTCATTTATCCAGGGTTGCTTACTAGCTTTAGACGTAGGCCTAACCTTTAGAGGAGCAGTAATATTTAGTGACGACAAGCAGATATGATTGAAGTGATCGACCAGATTGTTGGTGTTGGAATCAGACTTTGGCTCTGAAAGAATGCGCAAAACTTTGAAACACTTTGTTCATTAAAGAGCGAGAACACACGGAGCTTGGTGAGGCGGCATGAGTAACAGGAGAATCGCAGCTAAAAACAATACATTGTGGTCAGATATGGTCATGTCCACTAATTCCACAGAGGAAATGCTGACACCCAGGGTAAAAACCAAGTCCAGTGTTGACCAGTTATGTGTTTGCCCTTTGACATGTTGTTTGAAGTTAAAAGAAGTGGCCATATTTAAAAAGTCAGTTTTAACATTGGTGGGGTCATCAACATGAATATTAAAATTCTTCTTCTTAAAGTTCTGATAAAAATCGGTTTTGGGGGGGGGTAAATTATAACAAATATGATAGTTTTCAGCCCTCCAAGTTTAAGAGTGAGAACTTCAAAGGAGTTAAATTCATCACAGCATACTTGATGACATTTAAAATTTTTCTATACACGCTCACTAACCCACCACACCACTAAAAATCATATTGAGGCGGACACAGTTCAGCTAGCTGGCTATAGTCATTCATTTACAACCATGATTCAGTTAAAAACATAAAATCTAGATTTGCAGACAAGATAAAATCAATTAAGATAAAAGTCTTACTTGACAGAGATCTCGCATTAAGCCATTTAAATGACTTTGTTTTGGTGCAGTTGTCCTAATCCTTTTATTCCTAATCCTAGGATTTCTGTGTGGGATGTGCACATTTCGGTTTACTGGTCTATGCGTATAGAAGTCTTTGGAACAGCGCTGGGAGCAGACGGCTTTACATGCCAGCAGGTGGAGACAGTTGTGGCAGTGAGGCAGAGATCTGTTCAGTGAGCGGTGGTGTGTCCAGGTGTGCTGCATGAATGATTAGTCATTCACGTAAGTCCTGAGGGGAGGACCGCACCACATGCTGTATGTGAGAAGGTAACATTTCTGAGCCCTGTTTGTTTGGGTGAAGTCCGTCTGTCTTAAAAAGAGACATTCTTTGCCAGAAAATATTAAAATTATCCACATAACACACACCGTGAGCCCTGCAGGCGGACTGGAGCCAGTCGTGGAGGCCAAGGAGTCTACTGAAGCGGCCAGCACCGCGACCAACTGTGGGAATGGGACCAGAGATAAAAACGGACTTTCCACACTGATTTAAAAAGTTAGAAAGACGGATAAAATCAGATTTTGTTAGCTCAGACTGAAGCGCTGAAGAGCTGTGTCATTTGTTCCCACATGGACTATCACTCTTGTGATGGAGGACGGGAGCGATGGCATCAGGTCCTGGCGTTATTTTTTTTTTAAATGTCAGCCGTGGTGGCACCGGGGAAGCAGTGAGTGGTAGCGTTAAAGAAACAGATTTTTTTGGTTATGGAGTCACCAACATATCAAAACATATCACACTACCAGCCTTGCACAGTGGATTACCTGCTAAAGCCTGTAACTTGCTCAAAATCTTTGGTCTATCTCTCAAAAATAAATCTTTACATTTATGAAAATGTCAGTGCATCAGAAGGACTTATCTTTCTGATGCCCTGACATGTAATTGTTTATGAACAAGATAGTCAAAATGTTTAGTCATGTTGTCAGTATAACAGTGTATTCTGGAAGTATTTTCTGATGTAAACTATGTCAAAACTATAAAGTTTTGAAGACAGTAGCCGTGTTTCCATCTAATTGTCATGTGAATTTTAAGCGAACTTTTGAAATGTCGCAAAAAAGAAAAACAAAGACATTGCGAAATGTGTGTATCCATGAGCTGGTTTGGAGTGAATAAACCAGGCTACAGCAAGCGTAGTTATGTCAGTAATTACACCTGGCTGTAATAAAAAAACACCATGAGACTGTTTTACAGTAAATGTACTGTAGAAATGTTAAGACCCCTTAGGCTGACATTGCTATCTGTCAGACCACAGATTCTTATCTACATCACAACAGATATCTTTATCAATTTAGGATACATTTACAAAAAAAAGTATAATATACATGTATAGAAAATATGCATATGTATAATCCATTGTGATCAACCTGACATTAGCAATTGATAATGTATGAAACAGCAGCATAAACAGCATTTATGTCACTGATTTTACCCCCAAAACATCCATTGATGTTAAAGAGGTCATTATGCTCATTTTCAGGTTCAAACTCTTAGCTTCGGTTCAGCTGTACATGTTCCCTTACCAGCTTAGCAACATGGACTGGAGCAAGAGTTTCAGAGTGGTGAGTTATCTGTAACAAAAGTATCTGACATTCATAAAGTTTTTACTGATCTCTGTCTCTACATCACAGTAACAACTTTATGTCCATTGACTGCCTGGAGGGTAGCTAGTGTTTGGAAGGGAGAGGAGGTGTGTGTGCGCTGCAGCTCACTGTTTTTCCACCGGTGTTTTTATTGACTTAAATACAACAGAACACAACTTAACACTTGAGTCCAGAAGACGAACCATGAACCGTGATGCTGTCAGGACTAGATGAAGGCCGGGGAACCAGAGGAAACATACAAAGTAAAAGGGATTTTAGAAAACAAGAAAGAGAGAAATGTTATTTTAAGGAAACCCAGATTTCCATAAAACTAATTCATGCTGAGTGTTTTTGTGTCTAAACAAGATGGATCTTCAACATTTCTTTAAATCTATAAAGTTCTAAATTTATTGAATGTTTCAACTTTACTGTTCCAGAAAAAAAAAAGTCTGGAGGGACACTGAACATTAAACACAAAATACATAAATACATGATACATATGACAAAAACATGTAAAACAAACACTAAAACCCACCACACAAGCTCACACAAAAACATCCATCAAGAGACGACTTTTCAGATAACCTACAGTACATCAGACCGCCATCATAACCATCATTATCACCATCATTATCAGTGGTTATAAAAAATCATCTGTATCAATCTGTCCAGCATATAATCCTTTCTGTTCTTATGACCTCAATTACACTCAAACAGGATGAAAGCTCATGAGGACAGACAGGAAGTAGATGTGTGTTCAGAACAGATCAGCAGAAAAAACACATTTACACAATAGACTAATAGACTAGATTTAAAACCGCACATGTCGAGCAGTTTGTGTCATTTTGATTTCAAAACAGTTTTTAGTTTTGCAGTTTAAATGTTCTACAATAGTTGCTGTGGCATTAATTGCCAAATGGAAAAGTTTAAAATGACTGACAGCAGCCTCTCTAATCAAAAATGTAAATCATTAAGTAAAGTTATCTATCTCTGGGACAATAAAAGTCTAAATCTGAAGGAAACACTCATACATGAATAAATAAAGAAATATATAAGTTTTCATGAACACTGTTTTCCTCCTCTGACAGGGAACACAGTGGCAGTCTGTAACCAAACAACAGATAATGATGCACGTCATATTTATTTGACATCTGCTGCAGTAAGTTTCTTTGGCTGAACACTGCATCTACTGTCCTCAGTGCTGCTGTGGACAGCACATCTGGAAACCCCTGTCAGCTTGAAATGTTTTGTTGCTGTGCTCAGTCTTGCCAACTTCCATGTTGAATTTATAATCATTAGCACCTGTTTAATCATACACCTGACAGTGTGCCTAAAAAGTCCCTCACTGTGAAACTTTACCTTAAAGAACTGATCCTGTTTGAAGGCAAAGGGTGATCACACCAAATAATGATTTGATATAGATGTTTCATTTACAGAGTCTCAGTTCTACTTCAGCTCAGTTTCAGATTTCTGGAAAGGTGTGGATCCAACATCCTGAAGTCCTCAATCAGAGCTGAACTGGCTTGTGTTCCTTTGTTTCGAACCATGTCAATCACCGCTCGAGCCCTGTCAGCCCTGGTTCTGGCTCTGGCTGAATCCATTTCTTCTTGATTTATTATGCCCCGTTGCAAAAGTGATCCAGCAGCTGATTTAAAACAGGTTCAGACACTGAACCTACAAACTGTGACCGAACTGATGTCAACCTGCTCCGTGGTGAGCCACTCTGAGGCCTTGGTGGATTCTCTTCACGTACAGCCGGATCTAAAGGTCAAGCAGAACAAAGACTTGTTCAGTAAGACCTCTGACTGTGTGTTTGGGCAAAATGCAAAGCCAATTATTCCAAATTTATGTCAAAATTGACAAATTCTCCAAATGCAGCCTGATGCAAAGAAATTAATTCAGGCTGATCCTGAAGCTTGATAAACATACAGAGAGGAAATAGGAGAGAAATAAAGAAGTAGAGTTTCTGCAGAGTTCAGAGATCATTCAGAGGCTGAACTAAAAACACAAACTTAGTTGTGGCATCTGTTGCTAGCTAGCTCACAACTAACAATGAACACAGTCTATGCTGTGGTTTTCTGTCTGATCACAAGTTTATTGGGACAGCTCCAGTGATCTGTTGAATATCTGAGTGAAGATGGGGGCCAGCTGGTCAGCCCAGATTTTTTTGTGGTCAGGAGCCTTCCTAATCTTCTGTCTCTGGAAGACAGATCATGAATGCAGGTGAGGGGTCGGAGAAGGAGGATGAGAGCGTGGCAGTTGGGGACGGTAACTGAAGATGGTGTTTGAGTTGGGGAGAGGTGTGACTGTGGGCTTCTCAAACCTACAATAGAAACCATTCAGCTCGTCAGCCAGTCGTTTAGTACCAGCAGTTTTGGGGGATAGTCTCCTGTAGTTAGTGAGTGTCCGCAGGCCTTCCCACACTGACGCAGGGTTGCTGGCCGTGAAGCTGTTTCCTAGCTTTTCAGCGTAACATCTCTTTGCTGCTTTGACCTCTTTAGTCAGAGTGTTCCTGGCCTGATGTCCAGGACTCTGTTCCTACTTCTAAAGGCCCCCTCTTTGGTCTGACAAAGCTGCCTGAGTTTCACTGAGTGAAAACCCCGCTGTCTCAGTTTAACCAGTGCGCCGGCTCGCCTTCCCCTTCGGCGTCTCCAAAGGACCACAAAGAGAGCTCCTCCAACTACACACGCCACCCTGAGCGATGGTCACTCTGCCCAGCAGCTTGAGCTCCTCATCATTGCGGACGGCCAGCAGCAGGTGATGGGGGATGATCCTGGTCTTGTTGTCGTGGGCAGCATTTCCAGCCAGCCCAGGATTTCAGCGGTCAGGTACTCCAGCACCGCCGGCGGGTAGACGGGGGCTCCGGCACCGACACGCTCCGCATAGTTGCTTTTGCGCAGCAGCCTGTGAACACGGACGACAGGGAACTGGAGCCCGGCATGGGAGGAGCAGGTCTTTGCCTTAGCTCTGGCTTTTCCACCGGTTTTTCCTCCTCCAGACAGACATCGCTAGATCTTTCTAGAGTCGGTACTCAAAAAAAATGTCAAGGGAGAGGGAAGGTGGATATTTGTTCTCTGCATTTTACCCATCCTGTTTAGGAGCAATGGGCTGCCATCGTACGGTGCCAGGGAAGCAGTGTGGGGTTCAGGGTCTTGCTCAAGTGGTACCTTCAGCATGGGTCGTGCTGAACTACATCCGCAACCCACCGGTTTCCAAGCAAAGTCCTAACAGACTGAGCTAATGCTGCCCCAAAGCAAGGTCCATAAAGACATGGATGAGCGAGTTTGGTGTGGAGAACTTGACTGGCCTACACAGAGTCCTGACCTAAACACCTTTGGGATGAATTAGAGCGTAGACTGCGAGCCAGGCCTTTCTCGTCCAACATCTGTGCCTGACCTTAAAAATGCACTTTCAGAAGAATGGTCAAAATTCCCAAACACACTCCTAAACCTTGGATAGCCTTCCCTGAAGAGTTGAAGTTGTTATAGCTGCAAAGGGTAGGCCAAGACAATATTAAACACTACGGATCAAAAATGGGATGTCATTAACCTTCATGTGCATGTAAAGGCAGGTGACCTACAACTTTTGGCTATAGAGTGTATGCTCAACACACTTAGAGGTCTGGACCGAGGTATACCAACACGGTTTCACACAGAAAGTTTACAGTGACTTTTTGCAGCTTCTTGTTCTTGAGCGTGAACCAGAACAGGAAGCTGTAGCCAGAGAGATAAACAAGCTAAAAGTCACTATAAAGATCTGTGAAGGCGAGAAAGTGCAGATTCAGCTGATGACTCGGTACCAGAGAAACCAACACACTGTCACCCCATACATTGTGTTTTATAGCATGTTCTTTCCCCAGGTATTTACCCCATTGATGCCATATGTGCTATTAGCCCTTACTAGTATGTATTGTCAGTTGTAGATCTTGTGCTGTATTAATGCTTTGTTGATGCTGTATGTTGTTTTTCAAATGTAAGTCGCTTTGTATAAAAGCATCTGCCAACTGAGAAAATGTAAATGTATACATACTGGCCCTGAAGCTTCATGACCAACAAGAATGTTTAAAACTGGTTTAAAGTGGACTGCAGCATGATGAATGCAGACTGAGGAACGCTCTGAGGAAGAGTAAGAATAAAAGCACCACAGCTCAATCAATAACTGTTACTGTATTCTGTTGCATCAGGTGGAGGGATGCTGCAGGTGGATGAAGACTTTACCTGTCAGATCAACTTCATACTCCCAGACCTCTGTCTCTCTTTGGTCTTGGACCGTTAAATTCACTTCTTGTGTGTTTGTAGGCAGGCGGATCTCAAACGTTGGGTGGTAATTTGGTCCAAAGTCCAGATAAAATTGTGCTGTCTGAAAAACAAAATATCAAAACTTCCATAGCATCACAAGTAAACCAAATGTAATTGTTTCAGCAGAGACTTTTATTCCAAAAACTCACCTTAGGCTGTATTTTGATGGCCTGAGGACAGTGAACGGTGTAACTTTCATCTTTGATGAGTTGACATTTGGAAGGAGCCTCGATGTTCTCACAATGTTGCTGACGTTTGCTCACCTTACAAGAAATCAGATGATTTTAACATTTAAATTAAAGGGTTTATTCTCAGAAGGGTCAATTTAATCTCATTACAGACGTATCAGTCTCAGCTGATTTATAGATTGTTAAAAAACAATATATACCAGTACAATGGGGCTGCAACTAACCATTATTTTCATTATCGATTAATCTGCTGATTATATTCTCCTTTAATTGTTATTATTAACACAATAGTTGCAAATTAATTTTCTGTCAATCGATTAATCGTCCCACTTGTTTTAGATCTACAGCACATAAAACTGTCTTTAGGGTTGGGCAGTGGATTTTGTTCCCCATCACTTCTGTTGAAAGTACTTCAGGAAGTGATCCGTTAGTGTCCAGTATGAACAGGAGGAATCATTACAGAAAGAACAGGCTGTTCAGTGTCCAAATAGACACCTGACTTGTTTTCGGACAAACTGAAAAATTGTAAACTTGTCCTCTCAGACAGGTCAGAGAAGTCTGGATTGATAGCTGTAAGATGAAGATTACCTCCTCCAGATGAATGTTACTCGGCAGGAGAAACAATTTGAGTTTTTGCCTCTGTGTTTCTGTGTTTGGTGGTCCGAGGAACAGCAGAACTTGGCTGTAAACTGGTTTTGTCCACAATCTCTTAATGGTATCCCAGACTAGGCCAAAGGCAGAGAGGTTAGGGACTCTGACAACCACATGAGTGTCAGTAATCTCCAGCGGGTCGAGGATGCTCATTCCATCATCAGTGATGTGGACGACAGACAGCAGACCATCAGGCAGTAGAGCTGTGAAAACACAGAGCGTTAAACTTTTGTTTTACTGATATCAACCTACCTCAGTATAATGTTAGTCCTATTGTATTTCCAGGAAGATTAAAACTGTTGGCCAGGTTGAGCAATTTATTGAACTGACAGCGTTGGTGGATGGGAAGCCAGTGAGGGATTGTCCCCGTGTTGCTGTTTTCCATCAGTCTGGGCTTCTGTGTGGACTAGAGAGGATAAACTGGGGGAACTAACCATTCCAAAAACCTGGAGATTAAAAAAGGTTTTTAGTATATTTATGATCCCTTGATGATATATCCTGATGACTTGGGTGACCTGAACTTCTCTCTTGCTCCCACTTGACAAAATTCCTACTTGGATCAACAAAAATAAAAAAATTGTGGGCCTATTAGCATGAAGTGCACTAAGGAAAATACTGAATCACTGAAGTTTATAGTTAAGTTTGTAGCCCAGCTATCGCTGTTAATGTTCTGACAGCAGCTAAAGCATCTTGAACTTAATGAAGCAGCTCAAAAAGATGGTGTCCATCCCCGCACCTTTAAAGTCTGTAGCAACCAGTTATTCTCAGTGCTTCACACCATCTTATCATTGTCCCTATCGTCAAAGATTCCAGTGACATGGGAAAACATCTTTCCTTATACTAATTCCCCCCAAAAGTAACGTGTCCTGTAGGGCCCTTAGTAACCTTCGGCCCAAAGCCCTGACTTCTCATATCATGAAATGTTTTCAAAGGGTTATCCTAGGTCAACTCTTTGAACAAGTGTTGGCCGTTCAACATCGCTTTGCACTTTACATATAGGAAGGGTGTAGGAGTAGACCTTTAATCAAATGCCAATTCAGTCAGGATTATTTGTTTTGACTTTTCTAGTGCTTTTAATACTATTCAACCACACACTTTATCCCATAAATTAATTCATTTTGAATTACACAACACCACAATTTGCCTGGATTTTAGATTGCCACTTCATCCCCAGTTTGTCAGATTTGATAAAGTATCTGACATTATTAAACAGGGCACGGTTTTATCCCCTTTTTTATTCACTCTCTAAACTGTTCACTACAGGTATGGCCCACAGTTCTGCCACCCTGTCCGGCCTGTTGACAAATATATAATTAAATAACTAAGAATGAATACAAAGGAGTACATTAAAACTCGTGTTCAAGCAAAAACTGTCTGGCCATGGTATTATGCTTCTCATACTGCATACCAGGCTGCGGGGTGGGAAAAAATTTCATTATGTCTGGTTCATCCACAAAGGATGCAGCACACCAGCAACCTGCCCTCTGCAGATCATGCATTTCATGGTGAAGTTACACTGGGAATCTGGAGGAAAACCCATGATGGAGCAAATAAAAACAAGTTAATTGATTAAGTAAAGTGACCCCTAGTGGCACCTGGAATACGTTCTGATCAGGCAGTCAGTCCCTTCACTGTCTCAGCAGTGAAGAAAGTAAAAAATGTAAAATAAAAAGCCACAAAGTGTTCAGCTGCACTGTTGTTCAGACTGTTACAACAGGTAAATTATCCTCTCCACTCACAAAGCACATTAAGTCCTCACCATCCTTTGTTTCACAGTGTGGCAGGTGGAGCTGACAGACAGCGTTCTCAGGACACTTGATACTGAACAGCAGCCCTGCAGCCGTCTTGCCGGCTGATTGGAGGAGGCTCTCATCCCATTGGACAGTCCGGTACAGCAGCTCCGCCTCCTGAGCCACAACAAACACCAGTCCAGTCAAAGCACACTGGAACACACCTGGACCAGGACACCTGAACCTGTAGGACACAGGGTGGCAGAAGATTTCGGCCTGTTGGTCACATGATCTATTGATTTAAGCCTTTAGTGATGGGAAAAGTGGCTCTTTTGACAATCTTGAAACTTCAAATCTTGTTCATTAAAATCAACTAATATTTGAATCTTTGTTCATTTGCACTAGGCTGGTTATTGTGTGTGCAGTTCTCAAACACGGAAGGCTACCTTGCTTGCATTAATTGACAAAGCATAATGCATTCTCATAATGCATTCTCTATCATCATTCTATAAAGCCCCATGGGGCCACAACCAAATTTACACCATGTAAAAATCACAGACATATGTTGTCAATATTTAATCACCACTACTTCGGGGAAATCTATCCATTTTCACAGTCTTTCCTGAGTAAGATAGATAGAGATAATTACTATCATACCTCTAAAGTGCTCATTCATACAGTAGCCTAATGTTCCTATCCATGACTAAAATCCATATATTACCATCAGATTTGTGGGGAATATATTGAAGTAATAAGCTTGACACACTAGATGAATAAACACTTATTAAAATTCAACCAATTTAATAATAATCTGAATAAAGCCACCACGTTCTTAAAAGAAATCTAGCACAGAGAGAGTAACAAAGAAATAAAGACATTATTTAAATGCTGCATTCTCTGGTGGACCTGGATCAGCTGTTAGCCAACGCTAACGTTGCTATGTGGCTGTGTTTTAATGTTTTAATGACCGGGTCTGTTTATTTTGGAGAGGAGACGACCTCGGAGGTAATTTGGCTCCTGATAGAACCCTGTCAGGGCACTGAAGTGGAGCGGACCCAGAACAACTCTCATCAGCTGTAAATACTAGCAGGACTAAAGTTACGGTACAGCTGTTTTAAAACTATAGCACAACATTACTGCACTGTAATAATGTTATCCTTTATTAAATGTCAAATAATTAAGTAAATAGATATACAGTATAATGTCACTCCAGTGACTGTTACCTGTAGTTTTATTTCTGGAAAAATGTGGCAGTTCTAGCAATCGGTCCTCTCATTTCTCCCTAATTCATCACTTCTAAATATTCTCTAACATCACTTATAGCAGTTAATGCTGCCCATTGCTAAATTAGCCACAAAGCTAATGTGGTGTTCATCAGTGGAGGAGCAACGTTAAACTATAGAGTTCAACTAATTCTAAATATATCAGCATCCCACTTGTTCATAGTTACAGTCAGCATGTCAGAAATGATTAACACAGAGGGGACGTGAATAAATGTGAGCTGAACATTGTTTCCTGCCTAACAAAGTTATCTAGCTCCTCTTTGTTGACGTTGTAGATGTAAAATGTTGTAGTTCTAGTATAACGATAAATAAAATCTCAAAGTTGCAGGTCCTCGTTGTAGACAGTGATGTAGTATTAGATGCATTCAACAGCAGGTCACTGTATCACAGACTGCATGTTTAAGACAAAGGGGTTGAGAAAGGGTTACTTGTATCTTTGGATAGAATTGATGATGGTGGTGAAATAAATGTGCTGCATTGCTTAAAAAGACAGTTGATCTCAAATGCCGTATGTTTGAAAATAACTAATTTATCAGTACATTAAATAAAAACTGTTACCTTGCTGTTGTGAATGTTCACACTGGCAGCAGGTGGAGGGAAAAGCTGTCCAGCATAAAGAGGGATGATCAAGAAATCATTTGAATATGAAGATAACAAAACATATGACAGAAAAAAGTGCTGAGAGCACGCCTACTTTCTCACCCTCCACACAGCTGACCAATCACTCACTCACTCAGAATGTCGGTTTCCGAAAGTTAAGTTAAAGAGATTGTCCTACCCAGGGGTTTCTGAAGCTTTTTGAACATCATACGAGTAGTTCTGCTGAATTTTAGTGGTGCCTTATGAGCTAAACTCTACTGAAAAGTTTGAACTTATAGTTAAAGTGTAGGTGCTGGGAGGAAGTGAAGAATGGGTTAAAGTGTAATAACTGAAAGCAGTTGATTAGGTTGAAGTATTCTGAATCTTCTGATTTGGTTACCTGTATGAAGTCTTTCCAGACTCAGTCAGTAGTTCAGGTGTGAAACTTAACTTCTCCTAAAATTGAAAAACAGTACAAAATTAGTTACAAAACACATTGAAATTTGTAGCATGACAGGATCCTCACTGCTTCACTTTTAACTACAGAATCTTACAAAAATGAGTGCACCTCTCACATTTTTGCAAATGTTTGATTATATCTTTTCATGTGACAATACTGAAGAAAAGACACTTTGCTACAATGTAAAGAAGTGAATGTACAGCTTGTATAACAGTGTCAATTTGCTGTACCCTCAAAATAACTCATTGTAAAATCTCTATATTTGGTTCACAGGAGTGAACATCACCATGGTACATCGATAAGAATGCAGAAGGGACAAATTGTTCCGTTTAAGCCATTTATTGCCACCATTCACACATGAAGAGCAACAGGAGATGATGAGGCTTGGTTGTTATGGATTTCAACAAAATGTTAAAGAAACACACAAGCATTACCATACAGTAAAGCAATGTATAACATAACACTTAAAAACTAGGCTCCTAACAAACAATAAACATTCGTACTCTAACCAAAAATTACCACTATGGAAATTATAAAGTACTACATAACAAACATTCATTTAACAATTATATATAAGAAAATCATCATGGTCTAAGTTAGGTTATACTGTTTTCTGCCTTTCCTAAAGAACTACAATTAACAAACCATGTGCACTGCGCACTTACACACAATGTGATATCTGTAGTCTCAAGGCAAATAATCAAACGGAGGAATATAGCATCTACTAATATGTATTTTAGTCAAGCATTCAATCACATCAAGTTTACAAATAACCATTAAGATATATGAAAAAGACAATAACGCACAGCCATAGATGTCTATATGAATCTCAGAGACGGAGGGCCCTCACATGTGGTTTGTATTGCTGCCAGCCAGAACAAAGGGAATGGGTGGAGCTTATAAAGTAAACTATTGATTAGGAGTGAGTGAGATCAGGCGAGATTGGGTGGGTCCTTGCCATGGAAATAGGCAGAGGGTTGCTGAATAGTATGGCTCCATTCTACACACATCACACAGCCATTAATGTCTAAACCGCTGGCAACAAAAGTGAATACACCCCTAAGTGAAAATGTCCAAATTGGGCCCAATTAGCAATTTCAGGTGTGAATGGGGAGCAGGTGTGTAAAATTTGGTGTTGTCGCACTCACACTCCCTCATACTTGTCACTGGAAGTTCAACATGGCATCTAATGGCAAAGAACTCTCTGAGGATCTGAAAAAAGAATGGTTGCTCTTCATAAAGATGGCCGAGGCTATAAGAAGATTACCAAGACCCTGAAACTGAGCTGCAGCACGGTGGCCAAGACCATACAGCGGTTCAACAGGACAGGTTCCACTCAGAACAGGCCTCGCCATGGTCGACCAAAGAAGTTGAGTGTGTAATGTATTGTTATAGCGCTAGGAGCGCGGTTGTAAAATACAGTCCCTGTTCTGTGTGACTCTAGCAAGCAGACAGGTCTCCTTCTTTTCGGTCACGGTAGCAGTATATTACAGAGTGCCCATGCTCATTGTCATATCCAGAGGTTGTATCTGGGAAATAGACGCACGAGTGCTGCCAGTATAGCTGCAGAGGTTGAAGGGGTGGGGGTCAGCCTGTTAGTGCTCAGACCATAAGCCGCACACTGCATCAAATTGGTCTGCATGGCTGTCGTCCCAGAAGGAAGCCTCGTCTAAAGATGATACACAAGAAACAGTTTGTTGAAGACAAGCAGACTAAGGTCATGGATTACGGGAACCATGTCATCTGGTCTGATGAGACCAAGATAAATTTATTTGGTTCAGATGGTGTCAAGCGTGTGTGCCTGAAACCAAGTGAGGAGTCCAAAGACAAGCGTGTCTTGCCTACAGTCAAGCATGGTGGTGGGTGTGTCATAGTCTTCTTTCTGTATGTGCATTACTGCTTTTTTAAATTTAATAATAATAAAACATTGTAAACTTTTGGCACCATCTGTTTCTTCCTCATTTAAACTAAGCTTATTTGTCTTAGGCCGGTCGGATCCCATACTGTGTGCAGGGATATATCGCCCGTGAAATACAACAAACATTTTATAAAAGAGTTCTCTGATTTCTTGGCCAGTATTATGATAACGTGCATGTCTGTTGTCCTTCTAAACCACTCACAAAAGATATTTCAGATTGATGCTTTTAACTTTTTACAATATTTCAGTGGATCAACACAAGAGCATGGGCATACGTTAGATCTTGTCTACGTCTACGTGTTATCTTATGGTTTGCCCATTTTAAATATTCAGACACTGGATGCTGTATTTTCCGATCACATGCCTTTTTTATTAGATTTTAACTTGTCCTGTCTTAAATTTAAACCAACTGCTTCTGCACACCTAGGCCGTGTGTTTAAGCTGACCACTGCTGCTCAGTTTTCTTGTGGTTTTCAAATGTCATGTCAGTCTGGCACTGGTCTCTTAGCTGACACAGAGAAATTTACTTCTTCCTTTCTCTCCACATGTGCCAGCATTCTTGACATTGTTTCTCCTCTAAATGTTTTGCGCCCCAGACCTAAAGCTGAGTCATGGTTTAATGACACCACCCGTGCAGCAAAGAGTGCAGGAGAGCAGAGCGCCGGTGGAAGAAAGACAAGCTTCATGTCTCATGAGATTTTAAAGGAAAGCTGGAGAATGGATCAAAAAATAGTTAAAGCTGAAAAAACTAGATACCTAAAAGAAATATTATTAATTCTAAAATTTTATAAAACTATTTGCACAATTACAATCCTTTTAGATATACATGGTATATTCTAAATTTTTCTATCTGGTTTGAAAGCATTTCATAGTACCGAGACTGCACTTTAAAGAGTTTTTAATGATTTTCCACTAAACAGACAGTGGTGACTCTGCTGAGTCTTGTGCTTTTAGACCTTACTGCTGCTTTTGACACAATTGATCATACCATTCTCATCTCTTCCTTAGAACGCTGTGTAGGTATCCCCATTTCCTACCACTTTTATGCGGACGACTCCCAAATCTACTAACCCCTGAGAAATGGAAATGCAAACAGTTCCCTGACTCCTCTACTTGAATGTATTTAAATTTAAACGAAATGCAAAAACTGAGGTCATTGTGTTTGCACCCAGTCGGGTTTGTGATTCCACTCCCTTAAACCTTGGTTCCCTGCAACAATACGTAAAGCCAGTAGTCACCAAATTAGGCATCAAAATTGACAGTGATTTTAAACTTCACAAGAAGAAACACTGTGATTAAATCATCTGAGGCTTTTCTCTAAAATTAAATCTGTTTTATCTTTTGATCTTCTTGAGCATGTGATTCATGTTTTTATCTCAACCCATTTGGACTACTGTAATGCACTTTACATCGGCGTGAACCAAACCTCCCTTTCCCACCTACGGTTAGTCCAAAATGCAGCTGCTCAACAGGAACCCGGAAACACAAACACATTACCCCCATTCTGGCCTCGCTCCACTGGCTCCCTGTACATTTTAGAATACATTTTAATGTTTGTTTTTAAGTCGCTTAATGGGTCGGCACCTCAGTACATCTCTGAGCTCCTGCACACTTACACCCCGTCTTTTCAAAGCAGTTGCCCCCAAACTGTGGAATGACTTACCACCACACATTAAAGTGGCAGCCACCCTCCAAATCTTTTTTTTAATTAAATTATTTATTTTTAAATCTCGTTTATTTTTATTCCCTGGCTTTTAATTCACCGTGAGAGTTGCTGTGGTCTTTGTTGTCGCTGGCATAGTTGATGTTATTTGTTTTGTTTTTTCTATTAAAATAGATGTATTAATTAATTAATGAATTATTGTTTATTATATCTCTGTAAAGCATTTTGGTAACCTTGTTTTTTAAATTGTGCTATGTAAATAAAGTGAAGTGGAGTGGATTGGTCCTTTATTTATTTATTTTTTGTTTATTTAACAGGGACAATGGACAGTCATTGACTCTCCCAGAGTTAGCTAGGTAGGTATAGAATAGAACTAAAAGCACTTTCCATTTAAAACATTGCATCATACCAAAAATAAATGTTAATTAATTTGTGATTAATGGTCACATGATTGGTTATGTTTCAGCCATCAGTTGTAATTTTAAACTAGAGAGTAGAGCACTGTCTGGATATCGTGCTGCAGTTCTAATGGAGAAAGCTGACCTTTTGCTGTACTACACAGTACCTCTGGTAGATGCTGTTGTTTCAAAATCAGAATCAGCTCCAATGCCAGATATATGTACACATACAAGGAATTTGATTCAGGATTGTACATTGCTCACGATGTGCTTAATCATACAATAATAAAATCAGACACAGGCTACAGTGTAGACAACACAAATATACACACTTGAACAAAAACCAACAGACTGGATGATGGCTGTGTAGAAGTGGATCAGCAGGTCCTTAGGCAGGTTGAGTTGCCGGAGCTGGCGCAGGAAGTACATCCTCTGCTGGGCCTTCTTGATGATGGTGACCGTGTTGGGCTCACACTTTAGGTCCTAGGATATAGTGGATCCCAGAAACCTGAAGGTTTTCACAGCAGACACAGGGCTGTTTAGAATGGTGATGGGGGGCAGAGTAGGGGGGCTCCTCCTGAAGTCCACGGTCATCTCCACAGTTTTGAGCGTGTTAAGCTCCAGGTTGTTCTGACCGCACCAGAGAGCCTGCTGATCAACCTCCCGTCTGTAGGCCGACTCATCACCATCCCGGATGAGGCTGATGACCGTTGTGTCATCAGCGAACTTCACCAGTTTGACAGATGGGTCTCCTGGGGTGCAGTCGTTGGTGTAGAGGGGGGAGAGCAGTGCTAATAGTCTGGGTGCTGGATGTGATGTTCCCCAGCCTCACCTGCTGACTCCTGTCAGTCAGGAAGTCTGTGATCCACTGACAGGTGGAGGCTGGCACAGTGAGCTGAGTGAGTTTGGTGCTGAGGATGTCCGGGATGATGGTGTTGAACGCCGAGCTGAAGTCCACGAACAGGATCCTTGCATATGTCCCTGGAGATTTGAGGTGTTGCAGGATGTAATGCAGTCCCAAGTTGACTGCATCATCCACTGACCTGTTAGCCCTGTGGGCAAACAGCAGGGGGTCCAGCAGGGGGCCTTTAATGTCAGGTGGGCCAACACCAGTCTTTCATAGGATTTCATCACTACAGATGGTAGGGCGACAGGCCTGTAGTCATTTAGTCCAGAGATGGAGTTTTTCTTGGGGATTGGGATGATTGCTCCAGTGAACTGTTGAAGATCTGTGTGAAGATGGGGGCTAGCTGGTCGTTGCAGATTTTCAGACAGGATGGTGGCACCGTGAGGTACAGGAGCCTTCCTGATCTTCTGCCTTTGGAAGAGGTGGCTCACATCCTCTTCACAGATCATGAGTGCAGATGAGGGGTCAGAGAGGGAGGGTGACAGCTTGTCAGAGGGGGAAGGTGACTGTTTGAAGATGGTGTTGGAGCGGGGGAGTGGTGTGACTTTGGGCTTTTCAAACTTACAATAAAAGCCATTCAGCTCATCTGCCAGTCATTGAGTACCAGCAGTGTTGGGGGATGGTCTCCTGTAGTTTGTGAGTGTCTGCACGCTGCACTACACTGACGCAGGGTTGTTGGCTGCAAAGCTGTTATTTAGCTTTTCGGTGTAGCTCATCTTTGCAGCTTTGATCTCTTTAGTCAGTGTGTTCCTGGCCTGATTTTACAGGATTCTGTCCCCACTTCTGAAGACCTCCACTTTGGCCTGACAAAGCTGCCTTAGTTTTGCTGTGAACCAGGGTTTTTGGTTATTGTATGTGCGGAAGGTTTTGGTTGGCACACACGTCCTCTCAAAAACTGATGTAAGATGTCAGTTAGTTTGTCCAGGTCAGTGGCTTCAGCCTCAAAAACACTCTAGTAAGTAAAGTCAAAGCAGGCCTGTAAATCCAGCTTTAACTTGTTGGTCCATCTTTCAAGTCTTTACCACAGATTCAGCAGATTTCAGTTTTTGCCTGTATGTCGGGATAAGATGAACCAGACAGTGATCAGAGGGTCCTAAGGCTGCACAGGGAACATAGATAGGTGGGACACTTAATATGCTTTCTGTACTTTGGAAGTTCATGGCTGAGGTCTGGATGTTATTTCTCCACGTTAGTTATCCGGTAGGCCAGGTGTAGTAATGCCTCACTGACACAGGCTTGAGGTGGAATGTAAACAGCGACTAGGACAAACGAGGAAAACTCAGAATAAAAAGGTTTACATTTTGTGAAGTGAGGGCTGCATGATATCTGTCCACGAACCTTCATTTATGTAGAGACAGAGTCTGCCTCCCCTTGTTTTTCCCGTGAACTCCCTTTCGCGACCTGGTCGGATGAGCTTTTCACTAACCATCTTTACTATCTGTGAATCTGTCACCGGAGGCTCAGCAATGTCAGCACAGCTACATGTGTTGGATGCTAATGAAATGGATAGTGAGCTGGAATGGATACTATAACTTTATAACTTTATAACAGTTAGACTGCAGTCAGTAACTTTACTGTAACTAGTGTTAGTGGATGGCTCTTCTTCTGTGTTGTTGTGACCGTTTTGTTGCAGTGTTTTATGTTATGTGGGTCACGTTAGTTACAGCGACTGAGAGGTGGAGAAGCTGTGTACCTAAGTTCTGGTAAAACAACAATAAACCTAAACTGAATGTTAGGAAGCAAACAACGGCAGGTCCGAGCTCCTGTAGCGTTAGCTGGCTGCTCCTGGATGCATCACTATGGGCTAATATTTGTAAACAAATCGCTCCACTTTGGCTTTTTGCTGTTACATCCTTTCTTGCAGGCTAAATCAACAGTGGTACACAGGATAGTAATATGGGTCGCGTTAGTTGGTGAAGTAATATGGAAGGCGATATAACTTTGCACCGGATGTCGAGCTAACATGACTTTCTCTGTGTTTCTCAGCTTTACTAATGCTCACTTTGTTCTTACATTATTATCGACATTATCTGAATCCATTTGGTCTGATGGGCTTCAGCACATAAACCTTGTTTTGTATCTTTACGTGGAGCCTGTGTTTTGCTGTGAGTTGTTTTATGGTGTTAGTGGACTGCATGTCGGTCAAAAGGTTGTACTTGGTATTTATTAGAGCCCGACCAATTTATTGTTTTGCTAATATTATCGGCCGATATAAGCTACTTGCAGATATACTCCTCTGTTAACAAAACTGCCACACCACAATAACCACAAAAGAAAACACTAGAACTGTTTGAGAAATCAATCTACAGTCACGTCTGTCAGCAGCGTAGCCACCACCACTCAACTACTGTAACATTAAACACACTGCTGTGAGCCGGCTGGAGGGCAGTGAAATATGGGAGGGTTGTCATGCTCATGAATGTTTTATAAAAGGAGAAGTGATGCGATCTATTTTTATTTAAGTCATGTATTTGCTGTGACAAATGACCAACTCATCATGAATACTGAGTGTGAGAGCTACCTGGAGCTACTCTTCCTAGTTGTTTCTCATGCTCTGGGAGACTCCAGTCAGCTGATTGCTTTCTTTTGTGTTTTTTGTGGTGCGGCAGTGTTATTAACCGAGGAGCTGCAGAGCGTTCGCTTGTGGGCATACTATGCAACACTAAAGACATGAGAGAATGATTCAACTTTCTGGTTCCTTTTTTGATGGCGCAGTCTATAAGACACATGGCTTTGGTGTGAGAGACCCGTGTTCAAATTTCCAGTGTTACAGATCCACCAATGTGTCACACTTAAGCACACTAAACCCCTAGTTGCTCCAGAGGCGTGCAACATCTGACATATATAGCAATTGTAAGTCGCTTTTGATAAAAGTGTCAACTAAATGACTAAATATGATGTAATTTAATGTAATAGTCATAAATTGTCTGTTATAAACGTCGATATCGATTTATCTGAAATATGATAAATCTGTTGGGCTCTACTGATCTGTGACAAGTAAAAAACTGACCTTTGTATTCAGAGTCTCTCCACACAGAAGGTGGTGCTGCTGCTTCTCTGAATCATCAGGACACAGCTGATCCTCTTCATCCACACTCTCCTCTCTGTTGTCCTCAGACACATCAAGCTTTGTGTTTGATGTGGACAGATCTGGTGGGAGATTAAAGCCAGCGGATGAAGAGAAGCAGAAGCAGATGTTAAACTCACTTTTGGACATCCTGGTGACCCAACATTCAAAAACCTGTAACACCAACCAGTTCAAGTAAAGTCTTTCTCCCCATGTTTCCTGTTGTTATCTACTGGAAAACCCTCAATAAAGTCAAAATGTAGAAGACCAAGCACAGTCATGTTTAAAAGTCCAATGATACCAAGTTAAGGCAAAGAGCCATGAGAAACACAGCAGCCAATCTTCAAGTTTACATTTTTTAAAGATATTTCAGGGGACTGTCACTCACATTCTTCATGTCTGTCAGGTGTAGCCCTGATTTCTCTGCCATCCACCCTGTAGGAGTAAACACAAATATAGCAGTTATCTCTTATGAAGACAACCAGGATTTTCCAATTAGCTATGAGTATATTCACATGAAACAGGGAGTAGTCTGCGGTGCTGGGCCTCAATAATGGCCAATCACATCAGCTTCTTTCATCCATCTTAAGAGCAGCAGAAGATGTTAAGCATCCAAACAGCACATGAGGACTCCAGACTGGCTTCTCTGGAAAAACTGTTCTGCACAGGGGGCAGAGTGAAGCTCAGATATAGTAGAGCGCAAGCTGATGCTGCTTCTTCAACCTCTCTGGGTCATCAGGAAACAGCTGATCCTCTCTGAACACCACCACCTTTCTCTGTCAGTCAGTGATGCAGCACATCCAGTATAAAGACCGGCAGGGAATTCAATTCTGTTCAGACCAGAAGTGGAGCGGCTGTGTAGCGTAGCCAGCTTCCTTTCAGCTCTCATGTTAACGTATTGGAGTGAACACACTGAGACCTGCAGAGACTTTGGCCATTAGCTCTGTTTACTCTGCAGGTTTCACTCAAGTCCACAGTGGAAATAAAGTACTGAGAGTCCCTGAACGCATCATGACTGCAGAGACAGAGAGATATTCACTGCTCACTGGAATGATGGATTTACTGCTGTTAAAAACCAGCGGCTCAGTCACATTTGAAGATTTCAGCTACTTTGGAAATATTACAGGACAAATCTGTAAATATGGAGACTGTTCTAAAAAAATATGGACCAAACTAAAGACACATGGACAGATATATATATATGATGTTAAAGGTCCTACATGTTTATACAAAGAATGAACAGCTAAACATGAGCTGTGGTTACTGGACTTCAGCAGAGGTTCTGGTCTGTAGAAAGACCACATGGTTACTAAATGTAGTGATCTGTGAAATAAGGGGCAGTGATTTACAGGCTTGAGTCGAGAGTTGATTTCAGAGATGTGACAAAGATGAACTGATCAGTAGTTTAGTGTTGAAATGAGAGAACAAACACTTTGAGATCAGATTTAATGGTATGACACCAGTGGTAAGACCACTGTCAACAACAGTCATCTTCACATCATCTAAAATACATGATCACAACAAGCTACTGGCTGATCTGATTGGCTCACTGTCCTCTCTCTCTCTCTTTCTGTCCAATCCTGAAGCCTGTCACCATCCTCCTCTCAGAACTTCACTGAGGAAAGCAGCTGTTGAGAAGGTTGGAGTTTTACAGGAAATGCTGCATCTCTGCTTTGATACTAACTGTGTTTAGAACAATACCGCTGGACTGACTCCAACCTTCTACTGACCTCAGAGTCTCCAGTCTGCAGTGTGGACTCTCAAGAAAATCGCACAGCAGCTTCACTCCTGAATCCTGCAGCTCGTTGAAACTTAGGTCCAGCTCTCTAAGATGGGAGGGGTTGGACTTCAGAGCTGAGGCCAGAAAAGCACAGCTGATCTCTGACAAACTGCAGCCCCCCAGTCTGAATAAAGAATAAATAATGTAACGTTAGAAGACAATGTTCCTGCTTGAAATCATTCAGTGTTTAATAATCTGTTCAGAGCAGAAGAAGGTTTAGAATTTAGAAGTTTAGAAAATTGAAACTCCAAACACCTGAACCCAACAGGTTGCAGGTTCAAACTGTAAAATACAAAAGATAAAAAGAGCTCTCATTAATATTAATGACAACATACAGCTAATTCAATAAAGACGTAGTGACTTCACCTCTTAAACTCCACCAGTGGCTCCATCTATACAATCTCATGTTGTGCAGCCAAACACAAAGAAAATCCCACAGAAACTGATTTAAGATTCCACTCAAGATCCCAAAGTTTCCAAAGATGCCAAATATGTCAGGATGATCTTTGGGGAAATGTGAACAAAAGACATCTACAATATTTCTTTTAGGAATTGTGGAGTCATCAAATTAAAGCTTCTTCACTTTGAACTATTCAGTTAGTATAAGCATCATTTAGCTTCATACCAATGTTGGGGGAAAAAATACTGAATATATTTGTTACTGTCTGATAGTTGAAATAGAGATTATTTATTTATTCATTGTGTTTTTATTATTATTTATTTAAAAACATGTGGAATATAAGCTGAAAATCAGGAGTTTAAGAGGTTCAGAGTGAGGTTCTTGTTATATTTCATATAGGCTTCGCCCTCTAAGGCTATCGCTATTAGGTTTACCCCTCCACGTGCCTGTGCAGCACTGAGAAAAGTTGTTTACGCCCATCCACAGCGTGGGCCTCTCCTACGTCCGCACCTTGTATATATACAACGGTGACACCTGGCTTTCGGCTCCCATTTTTCTTCAGCACTGAGCTGTCTAAAGAGCAAAAGATTTCCTGTTGGAAAAGAAGAGCAATGTCTTCTAGCAAGTCGGACCGTAGCACGCCGGCTGAGTGCTCACCCCCGGCTCACGCTGCTCGTTCCGTGACCTTCTCTGCCCCGAAGAGAAGCAGTGCGGGGCGGATAATTTTGCAGGTGAGAATAAGGTGGTGTAGCAGTTCACCCACTCTCTGGACAAAGCCCTTGACCTGTTGCTATCGGATGAGCAGGAGTCCGGAGTTGCGGACGTAGGAGAGGCCCATGCTATGGGTGGGCGTAGCCAACTTTTCTCAGTGTCGTGCAGGTGCGCGCAGTGGTAAACCCAATAGCGATTGCCTTAGATGGCTGCGCCTATGCTCATAGAATCTGGAGTTACAGTACGTAACTACCGTTATATTAAGATTTTAAATGTGGAGCTCTGCCAGAGTCACTTTCACATTATATTAATCTCAGCACAGAAGGAAAAAATGGTGTCTGACCTCAGAGTCTCCAGTCTACAGTGTGGACTCTCCAGAAAACCACACAGCAGCTTCATTCCTGAATCCTGCAGCTCGTTGACACTCAGGTCCAGCTCTCTCAGATGGGAGGGGTTGGACTTCAGAGAGGCCAGAGAAGCACAGCTGATCTCTGACAAAGTGCAGGAACTCAATCTGAATAAAGAATAAATGATGGAGATAAAAATCCACTTCCAATCCTAATCAGATGTGTTCAGGTTTGAATCAATGAGTTTTTCCCTAAAATGAATATAGGGACTTTGTAATTGTGTTATTGTGGATCATCATAATGTCAGATTCTATAAACATCATCCAAATATCAGCACAACATTCATACACCTATTCATGTCAACACAGATCAACAACATGCAGCTGATCTCAGGCCAGTCTGGAATAATGATTACATTTTGTTCTTTAATTTTCTTCTGTTTCTCCTAATTCATAAAAATCAGGTGTTGTTTTATGAAAAACACTAAGACAGATGTTTTATATAGAATTCCAAAACGGTCAATAGGAAATAAATAATACTTACACTCAATAGTCAATACAAATCTTTACAGAGCTCGTTAACACCTGCCCCTGTCGAAAAATGCTACTGTGACGCAAATAGCTGGCAGAGTCTATCGATTTCCACTGACCTTAATGCCGGTTTCACACGTTTATTACCTGAGTATAACCACATGACAACTCGCACAAGTGTTGACACACAATGCGATAACACAAATAAACACAACCCGCCATTACAAAAGCTGTATAAACCCAAAACAAACATTTTTCTGTGATTTAGTTTCAATAAATGGATCAAACTGATGCCAGGTCTAAGCAAGATGACAACATGCACATTTACTTTTTGGCAGATGCTTTTATCCAAAGTGATTTACATTTGAGGAACAACATACAATCATCAACAGAGAATCAAATACAGCACGAAATCTACAACTGACAATGCATATTAATAAATGGCACATATTGCATCAGTGGGGTAAATACCTAGGGAAAGAAGTTAGATTTAACAAAAAGTGCAATCAATATAAGATAATTGTAGGGGATAGAAGAAGAGCACAGGAAGTACATGTTAGATGTTAGGAGTTAGAGTTGTTACAAGCAAACAACTTTTAAAATGCTTCTTTTCTGACTGGAGTTCAGGTCGATGCTATGCTAACTTCTGTAATGGGAATTCCAAACATACTGCATGTAACCCTGAACTCAGGGAAACTCATCTGTGATGTGGCACTGAATCTGTGTAAATGTAACAGTCCAAATATCTCTGTACTCTGTGTTATCCAGACTTCAGGGACAACGTGTCTCTGAGGGATATGATTGACCCTAAAGCTGGATAAATAACAGGCTCACTGAGCTCTCCTCACTCATTCGAGCATACATGTACACGGCGTATGTGTCCTTCTGCAGAAGACTTGAATAAAACTCACAGAAAGAAAAATGTTTTCCTGAGCTGTTTTTTAAACACTCTCATTCCCACCACACTTCTTTCATAGTTTTATGACAATGATAGCTGAAATCAAGTAACAGCACTCCTCAGGGACATAACATTGCAGTGCAGCCACAATAGGGCCCATGACAGGAGCAGGCCCTGCTTGACTTTGTCATTTACATGGAAAAAATACATCTAAATTTAGACTTCCAGCTCACCTCCTATCCCTAAATTAATCATGTGATCACATGGTATAGGGTATATACCCTCAAATATGCAAATATCCCCCTTTGCCGTGGTGCAAGTCAGTAGTTTTACCCACAAAAGTCTTTAGCAAGCAAAGTATAAAAAATGTGATTCCACAGAATGGAAATGTTTTATTTTCTTTGGTATATTCGTGTTACATAGCTACATGCAGTGATGAGTGCTGGGTAACATGTGTATGGCTGCGCAATCTCATGTTTCTATTTGTTTATGTGACAAGATGACAAGACTCCAGAAAATCTGACTGCGAGCTACCACATGTGCAAGCTAGCAGTTAAGCCATTCAAACATAAAAGTTGCTTTTATGAAAGTGCTTACCTAGCCTCTATGTAACATGTTATTTTAAGTTGCTTTTAATAATCAGTAATAAACAGTTACACACTAAGTGTTATGAGCTTAGTTTTGGGTTATGTTTGTGTTATGTTTTTCCCTGTGTGTTTCTGGTTCTGCCATTGTTTCATATGTCTATCTATTTGCCTCAGTTTCTCTCGTTCCTTGTCCCTAGTTATTTATGTCTTGTCTCTTATCTTAGGTCTTAGTCCTGCATTTTAGTTCTTTGCCTCAGTTCTTATTCCAGTGCCTTAGTTCTTAGTTCTGTGCTTTTGTTTTCTGGTTGCTGTAACGACAGTCGTTAAAGTCGTTAGGACTACCAGTGGCCATTGGACCGCATACACTATATTGCTTTTCTTGTGTTGCGGTCCAATGCAGTGAGGAATGCACAGACCTCTATATTGGGGAGACTAAACAACCACTACACAAACGCATGGCTCAACACAGAAGGGCCAACTCCTCAGGTCAAGACTCTGCAGTCTACTTACATCTGAAGGACAGAGGACACTCGTTTGAGGACCACCAGGTGCACATTTTAGACAGAGAAGATGGATGGTTTGAAAGAGGGGTCAAGGAAGCATCTACACCAGGGTCGAGAAGCCGTCATTGAACAGGGGAGGGGGTCTACGCCACCACTTATCCCCCACTTACAATGCTGTCCTTTCATCACTTCCCAGGAAACTCAACAAACGTAACCTATTGGCCTCAGGTGAAGATACCAACGATGGTCGTTCAGTCTTGGCCACAGGTAGTCTTAACAACTGCAACAACTGTCGTTACAGCAACAAGGAACACTAACGAACCAGCGGTATCGATGACCCGGGATAACGACCCCACTGAGGTTAAATAGCTGAGTTTCCCTGCCAGTCAGTCAGAACTGAAGAAGTCCTTTGGATGAGGGACGAAACGTCTTCCAGTATCTTCAACAAAGTCTAGTTGCCCTTGACTTTAACCTTCGTTGGATAGTCTGTAATATTGAGGCACTTTGGTGCACGGACCTCGAGCAACTTCTTTTCTTCTCCCTCAATTTCTATAAGCTACATTTTGTCTGTGACTGATGTGGAGTGTGAGTGATTGACTGGTCACTTAGTAAACCGCCTCCTATATGAGCCAGCTCCAAAATCGCCTGAGCCATGAAGGTAATGTGAAATAAAGCTTTACATTAGGAAAGGGGGGGGGGGACAAAACAGATTTTGTACAATGGCTCCTACCTGTATCAGGTGATGAACCTCAACACAAATCCACACACTTCAAATTTTTAAATTACTTTAAATTCAGTGCCTCTGATAAAGTGCAGCTCACAGCTTCAGGTGGAGGACAGACACAGCTGGATCATCTTATTCTCTGCTAATTTGCGGGAGAATAAATAATAATAATATTCTCTCTCTCAGTCACTCGCTCGCTCCTGCGCGTGTAGCATTAGTTAAGTGAATAAAGTTAAATTTTCAGCCTTTTGTTGTTTGTTTTTTAAAATCCTTCTGAGATCCGGGGCTTTTCAAAACACATTTAGGGCTAACGATTTCGCTACTTGTCTGACAGTTGTAGTAACGCCTCACAGGCCTGAGGTGGAATGTAAACAGCGACCAGGACAAACGAGGAAAACTCCCGCGGTGAATAAAAAGGTCTACAGTTTATGAATAATGTCTCTAAGTGAGGGCTGCATGAGTTCTTCAACACTGTGACATCTGTACGACGACCTTCGTTTTTGTAGTGACAGATTCCGCCTCACCTTGTTTTTCTCTTGAGCTCTGTTATGCGATCTGCACAGATGAGATTTAATCCCAGTGAAGTGCGCTGTCTGGGATGTGCTGAGAGAACCAGGATTCAGTAAAACAGAGGGCGGCAGATCTGCAGAAGTCTGAGTTAGTTCTGTTGAGGAGCTGCAGTTTGTAGGTCAGAGAGCGGACATTCGCCAGGTGGATAGAAGGGAGCGCAGTGCGAAAACCCGTTGTCTCAGTTTAACGAGCGCCAGCACGCTTCCCCCTCTTGTGTCTTGGGTAGATCCCATACAGAGCTGCTGCTCCTCTAACTAATAACTCTGGGAAAGTTCAAAGTTCGGTAAAGAGCAGTGGAATAAGTCTAAGTTTATAAACAAAAAGCACTACGGAGCGTAATCCAGAAGCGGCCATCTGCAGCACCTTCGTCCTTTTTGTTGTTGTTTTTTCTTATTTTACCCAACTAAACGCAGCAACAAAAAGAACATTATATTAAACTTAAACTCAAACAAAAGTTTGGGGAAAAAAGTACAATTACAAATATGTTGTCTTTAACATTAATTGTAAATATTGTGAAAACATTTTGTAACACAACAATGTTTTCAGGACATGGTGATGTTTTAAAGTAGGCGGCTTTTCTTTCTTAATTAACGTAATGTCTTGTCTCTCTGTCAAAAAGGAATGGGGTTGCCGTGATTGTTGGAGGTTGTTATACTTAAAATGCCTGAAAAAGTCTGCATCATTTCAGCACCTCGTCTGCAATCAGCTGTTTGTAGTAATGTTTAAGGATTTGGCAAAGATGTGTGTGTGTGTGTGTGTGTGTGTGTGTGTGTTCTGAAGGATTAATTTCAATTATCAGACATTATTTGTGAACACATTGAAACCAACAGAACCAAATAAATTTTTCTTCTTCAAAAAGTTACCTTGATCAGTTTCAAACAAATATTAGTTCAGAGGATCTTCTGTATACAGATGTGACCATTTACCAAAAATTAGAAACATTCATTTACTTTTATGACTAACAGTAGACATTTTCTACAGTTTCTTTAAGAAACACAAGTCTTTGTGACTGCAGACTGAATTTAGTACGAGAAACATGAACATATGAACAAAAGGACATTTACAACTTTATGGATGGAAGTTATATATGAAAAGAAATGAGCTTCAATTGTTAATTAAACACATCAGATCTACAATAGTTACAGAGAGTCAATTAACTGACCTCAGAGCCTCCAGTCTGCAGTGTGGACTCTCCAGAAAACCACACAGCAGCTTCACTCCTGAATCCTGCAGGCTGTAGTTGTTACTCAGCTGCAGCTCTCTCAGATGGGAGGGGTTGGACTTCAGAGCTGAGGCCAGAGAAGCACAGCTGATCTCTGACAGAGTGCAGGAACTCAGTCTGAATAAATAATAAATGATAGAGATAAAAATCCATTTCTAATCCAATCAGATGTGTTCAGGTTTTAAATGTGGAGCTCAACATTACTATGTCCTAATCAATGAGCTTTTCCCTAAAATGAGTAGAGGGACTTTGTCATTGTGTTATTGTGGATCATCATAATCTCAGCCTTCTACAGACATCATCCAAATATCAGCACAACATTCATACAGCTATTCATGTCAACACAGATCAATAACATGCAGCTGATCTCAGGCCAGTCTGGAATAATAATTAAATTTTGTTGTTTCTTTTGTTACTTTCATTTTCTTCTGTTTCTCCTAATTCATAAAAATCACGTGTTGTTTTATGAAAAACACTAAGACATGTGTTTATATAGAATACCAAAACAGTCAATATGAAATAAATAAGACTTTAAGTTAATACAAAACTTCACAGAGCTCTTTAACACCTGCCCCAGTACTTCTGATGCTCATTTCAAAGTAGAGATTTAGCCTCTCCTCATCACCACTGTCATCTCCATCAACACACAGAGGACTGAGTGTGAGCTTCATCCTCAGTTGTCTTTAGAACTGGATCAATTGTGAACTGAGCAAAGTGAAAGGCTCAGTCTCTCAGGCATTTTATTTATCTAGACACAGAGTAGCTTAATACTTATTTTCTTTGATATATTCGTGTCACATATTGCCGGGTTACATGTGTATGGCTGCCCAATTTTATGTTTCTATTTGATCATGTGACAAAACGACAAGACTCCAGAAACCGGATGAAATGCAAAATCTGACAAGTAGACTAGCAGAGCACACGTGCAAGCTAATAGGCATGCTATTCAAACATAAAAGTTCTTTCAAGAAGAGACAGGAGAGAGAAAAAAAACACAGGAGAGGGTCACAAAGCTCCCAAATAAGATTGTTTTAGATTTTTTACTGAGGACATTATCTAAGATTTTGCTCAATGCAGGGCTCGTTGGATGCCATTCAAACAGGTGAGTACAAGCGCTTTTTCATTTGGTGTGGCGTGCCCCTTTTTTAAAGGCTGTTATCATTTTGGGGACAGGTCGCCACAGAGCACCTGTTTGTGTGGATGTGCTTGTGGGCATTAAACCGCACCTTAGCTGAAGTCTGTTCAGGACATCAAAGATTTAATTACATATCCCCTTCTCAGATTTATTTTTTTCAGTGTAGCCTACATATCAAGCAATTTTATTCTTTATGTCTCAATCTCACTGACTCACATATCTCGAGAAGTGTTCACCCAATCTACTTCAATCTTAGCAGGTTTGTTGCTGAAGGACTCTCTGACTCTCTGACTCTGTCTCTTATAGGGCAACAAACTTCTGTTTGGGTGGTGCTCATAAATATCTTACAAGGCAATAATAAATGTGTTTTAGGATATTACTAACACTCATCAATGTTAATAAACATTTTATTAAGGTTCCTAAGGTATATATAACTTGTTAACAAGTTTTTATAAGGGTGTTAATAAGAAATAACAAATGTGTTCATTCATATTTTGATAAATACTTATTTAGTCTCATTAATATTAATAATCATTTATTTAATAAGCTGTCTATAAACATTAGACAAATTCACTACAAGTGTCTTACAATAAATTAACAAATCTATTAATTTCCGTAATTAACCCTAATAAAGTCTAATTTATGTTAATAAACATCTTATTAATGTTAATGACAGGTATATTAACCATCAACAAGTTTCTAAAAAAGAACCTATAAGTGTCTTATAGGTAATAATAAATAAGTTAATTGTGCTTTAATTAACACTTATATGGACTTATTTGTGTTTCTAAGCATCTTATAAGGTCTTATTAACTGTTAATTACTGCTTATTCCAAGCACCTTTAAATTAACTGTTAACGGCCTGTTTTCAGGAAATAGTGTTGTTTTTGAGTAGGCCACTTTTCTTTCTTGTTTAACATAATGTCTTGCCTCTCTGTCTAAGAGGAATGTGGTTGCCATGATTCGGGAGGTTATTATACTAAAAAGGCCTGAAAAACTCTGCATCATTTCAGCACAGTGGACTCCTCCTCTGCACTCAGCTGTTTGTAGTGATGTTTCAGAATTAGTCAAAGACAGCACTGGCCATGCTCCTTATAACTTTCTCTTTAACTTCTTTACTTTGCAAATACACTTAAGTAATACAGATAATTTACGTGCCTCCTCCTCAGGTGCTCCATCATACCTGGTGCGCTCCCTGCCAGGAGAGGTCAGCTTTGCAAATGCTGCAGTCTTTTTGGCCAAGTGAAGAGGGAAATTCTCCCTCACTTTGGAGGTTTTAGGTTGTGAAGGTGTTATCATTGCTGATGTTGCTAACTTTACTTTCACTACACTCAAATAAGCTGATGGGGACAACATCTTTATGAACAAAAGGACATTCACAACTTTATGGATGGAAGTTATGTATGAACATAAATTACATTCAATTGTTAATTAAACATATCAGATCTACAATAGTAACAGAGAGTAAGTGAACTGACCTCAGAGTCTCCAGTCTACAGAGTGGACTCTCCAGAAAACCACACAGCAGCTTCACTCCTGAATCCTGCAGGCTGTAGTTGTTACTCAGCTGCAGCTCTCTCAGATGGGAGGGGTTGGACTTCAGAGCTGAGGCCAGAGAAGCACAGCTGATCTCTGACAAAGTGCAGGAACTCAATCTGAATAAATAATAAATGATAGAGATAAAAATCCATTTCTAATCCAATCAGATGTTTTCAGATTTGAGCAAAGTGAAAGGCTGGTTCTCTTCTGTTTAAATAGCTGACCTGCTCTTCACAAGGCATTTCATTTATCTAGACACTGAGTAGCATAAAAGTGTCGAAAAATGCTACCGTAGCGTAAATACTTAGCAGAGTCTATCAATTTGTGCTGACCCTAATGCCAGTTTCACACATTTATTGCCTGAGTATGACAGCATGACTACTCGCACAAGTGCTCACGCACAATGTGATAACACAAATAAACACAACCCGCCATTACAAAAGCTGTATAAACCCAAAACAAACCTTTTTCTGTGATTTAGTTGAAATAAATGGATTAAACTGATGCTAAAATAACAACATCATGATGCCGATTTGCTAAACATATGAAGTCGTGTCAGGTCTGTCAGCAAGATGACAAGCAAACAACTTTTAAAATGCTTGTTTTCTGAATGGAGTTCAGGTCGATGCTATGCTAAGTTCTTTCATAGTTTTATTACAATGATAGCTGTAATCAAGTTACAGCTCTCCTCAGGGACGTAACATTACAGTGCAGACAGTGCAGCCACACTAAGGCCCATGACAGGAGTGGGCCCCGCTTGATTTTGTCATTTACATGTGTATATGAGCTGCTTACAACGGAGCTTGAACCGGATGTCAGATGGCAGCTTATGCTCTTTTTAATAGAGATGGGTCTGTGTCACTGCCAGGAAGTGAGGCTAAGGTTTCCAGTAAAAATCCTGAGGGACACAGGGGCCTTTGACTCTTATATTGTGCGATCTGTGTTGCCGTGTGTCAGAAGAAACTGATATGGGTGACTGTATACTAAGCCGTGGAATGGGTTTAACTGTTTTGCCCATAACGTTACATAAGTTGGTCCTGGACTGTGAGCTGGTAAAGGGAGAGGTAGCTGTAGGTGTGCGTCCAGCATTGCCCATTGAGGGGATTCATTTCATTTTGGGTAATGGGCTGGCTGGTAGCCGTGTTTCTGCTGACTCTCCTCCCTTACCAGTTGTTACATCTTGTCCAGTTAAGTCTGTTGACCATCTCGCCGATAACTTACCTGGAGTTTTCTCAGCCTGTGTAAGTACACGAGCTATGAGTAAAGCTGAATCTGAGGGGAAATCTGATGGGAGTGAAGTTGATTTTATGGCTCCATCACTGTCTGACTTTCTGCTATCTGTGTCAAAAACTGAGTTGTTAGAGGAACAGCAGAGTGACTCTTCCCTTAAGGAAATCTTTGATTGTGTTGTATCTGTTAAGGAGATTAAGCGAAAAGGTTAATGTTAAGGTTATTTATAGTGACACATGGCACACTCATCTTAAATGCATTTGAGCTTTGTTTGACAGGTTGTCTGAGGCATGTCTGACTATAAATTTGGCAAAATGTGAGTTTGCGAGGGCAACTGTGACGTATTTGAGACGTGTAGTGGGGCAGGGCCGTGTAGCTCTGGTCCAGGCCAAAGTTAGGTCAGTAGAACATTTTCCTGTGCCTACAACTAAGAGTTGCAACGATGAGGTGATACGTTACTCTAACTTTCCTACTCTTGAGGTGCTATTTCTTTGCACTTTTACCGAGCAATCCACTTGAATCTGAAGGCTGGCTGAGCGAGATCAAACAACTGGGTGTGTGTCCCACCCACTGAAACCAAGCTTTTCTTGTTAATCCAGAGGGCGATCTCAGCTGGGTGCAATCAATCGTAGTGCCCAACACCTGTGTGCAATTAGACCACACTACTTCAGTGAAACCTACCACTGAAGCGTCAGCGTAAGTGTCGGCTCCTTGGGTAAAGACCAGCGAGTCTAACAGTACGAGTCCACTGAGCAAGGCTGCCTAAAAGAGAAGCTTTTTCCCATCCTGAGGCACACCTACTCACCTAAAGCTGCCAGCTGCAACTACACTCAAGCCATGTGCTACTATGCTGTTCCTATTGTCTCCGGTAAACGCAAGAGGTATCATGCCATCAGGCACAGAAACCAGGCAACCCTTAAGCCTTTAAAATAGGCACCACCCACATCTGTTCACTTGTCTGTTGGGTCATGGAACTGCCAGTCGGCAGTCAACAAAGCTGACTTCATCACTGCTTATGCTAGCACATTATCTGTTGGACTACTGGCGCTCACTGAGACCTGGATCAAACCAGAAAACTCTGCTACCCCCGCTGCGCTGTCTTCTCAATTTACACCACCTCACTGGGGCTGATCATTCGCTCGCACAGCTTTTCTTACAACTGCTACGCAGACGATACGCAACTCTACCTATCCTTCCCGCCTGGCGATCCCAC